GATGACGGACATGTGGCCTTCGGCACCGAGTCAGGGTTTCCTAAATTCCCCCATAAAAAATATTTAGGTGGCGACTCTGTATGTGGCAAAGCAGTTCATATTTGGCACTTCTTTTCAAAAAATCTGTTTCTCAAAACGATTTGCTAGATTTGGACTCTTTGGTTCAGATTAAAGAATCGTGACACAAATCGAGTCCGAACTGTAGCGGGGCCCCTCGTGGGCGCGTCTACAATAGTCAAATTTCTTATATAGATATACATATATACTATGAAGCACGGACACGTGACACGACACAGACATGACACGGACACGTGGACACACAAATTTTCAAAAAATAGGGACACGACACGTTGGGGACACGTTCAGTATATATAATTTAATTTATTTATTATGTCATGAAATGAAATTATAAAAAAAATCATTGAAAGATAATAAAAAATACAAAATAACACTATTAAAATTAAAAAAAAAAACATTTCATTGATTCAACATCATATATATCATTCACAAATAACATAAAAATTGTATTCTATCAATACATAATATGTCATTCCAAGCTCCCAACTATCTTTTGTTACAAAATGTATGAAAACCAAACCACAACATATAAAATTATCCAATGTACGAACAACCACCATTTATTACAAAATCCATAAACATCAGAAAATGTAAACCTTAGTAGAGAAACTAATACAACATGTTCACCATTCCTTCCATCTTCTCCTTCATCTGTAAATAGGACCGCTGCTATAGCCGGTTCATCAAGTGAGAGGTTAGCTATCTCAAGCATTCCAATATCATCAAGTGAGTCAAAGTTATCTCCTACAATGTCCCACATTTTTGTCTTTTCTTGCAAGTATTGGGAGCTTCTCCTTGATAAAAGACGAAGATTGCTATGAATGAACACCAAGTCCTTTGCTTGTCGAGGGACCATTTTGTTCCTTTTCACTGAGTGAATAAAGGAGTAAGTACTCCAATTTCTCTCAGAACAAGATGAAGAGGCGGGTTGCGCAAGTAGTCTCAAAACTAGTTTTTAAAGAGTTGGTGCATATGCGCAATATGCACACCACCAAGTATAAGGATCCACGTGTCACCTATTATGAATGGAATTATATTCTGAGAATGCTTCAACATAACTTGAAAATTTTCCAAACTCTGTTGTCACCTTGGTTCGCTCCGTGATATCTTCAAAATACCTCTTAAAACACGTGTTCCTCTCACTTGTCACCTCTTCATCCCTATGTGGAGGAACTCTATTTTGATCCTCATGGAGCCACTCATCACTATGGTACCTTCAATACAAAATAGGAAAAATAATTATTTCAAGAAAGACTAGATAAGTCCATTAAAATAAAATATCTAAAACAAATTTAAATGTGGTACTTACTTTGGATTCAATGAATGTGCCATACAATGGAGAGGAATATTGTTCTTATTCCAACGATCCATGAGAATTTGATGCACTACATTGTAAAATGTAGATTCCTTATCTAGTTTATTCCCTTCATGCCTATGTATTGTCATCTTCACTTTCTCTATCATTGTGTCCCACTTATCATATACCAAGTGAAGACAAGGCTTGTTCATATCACAAGCCATAAGCATGTCATATATAGGACCCGTGAAGGAAAGAATATGATCAATATAGTCCCACCACACATCATCCAAAATCTTTTCTTTTACAAATTTTGCCTTCCCAACATTATTCTCTCTATAACAATTCCACTTGTCACTAATCACCATTGCTTGAAAACCACGTTTTATAAGCTTCAACCTCTTGAGCATAACAATTGTGAAGGCAAATTGTGTTTCGGCAACCAAAAACAACTTCAACGGCACAAATTCATTGTACATGGCCAATCACATAGAGTGATCAGAGATAAAATTTTTAATCATCAAACCATCTCCAGCAATATCACTAATCCAACTACACTTTTTATATGTGACTTCATTCCTCTCAATATTCTTTGTAGCACAAATATTTTTCAAAGCTAGATTTAATGTGTGCACCACACAAGGAGTCCATAGAATATGAGAGAATTGAGCTTCAATGAGTTGTTTGGCTGCCTTACAATTAGGAGCATTATTCGTGATGACTTGAACCACATTACTTGCCCCAACCCCATTAATCATTTCTTTCATCAAATTTACAATGAAATATCATGTATGTCATTAGAAATATCATGCACATCCACCCGTGGTAGCCATTGTTTCAGAATTAAAAATTGGTTCCTATAAATAAAATTAATAGACACATATCATTAAAATTAACAAAACTAATCAGCAAAAAAAGAGAGAATATAATCAAATAACAGAGGCAGAGAGAGAGAAGAACAAAAAAATAGGAGAGAGAGAGAGAGAGAGAGAGAGAGAGAGAGAGAGATGTCACAATCAACATATAAAAGAAAAAAGAAAAAGAAAATAAAAGTTAAAGAATAGAGTAGAAGAAGAAGATCAAAGAAGAAGAACGAATGAAGAAGAAGATAGAAGTTGTACCTTGGATAACTGCAAGAGCAGTGACCATCGACGACCGACCATAGACGAGCGACGACTGACCAGCGAAGAGTGACCAGGTGTGCCCTACGAGTCTTTCTCTCTCTTTTGTTCTCTCTGTTCGATTCTAGATTACAAATTGATCTATTTTTGTTTTTTACAAATTGACCCCCACAAAAGTTTCATAAATTATGAATTTCAACCCGCGGTGTCTTGAACGTGTCCGGCTGCCAAAAAATAAAAAATAAAAAAAATCAAACACCTTCTACTACTTGTCGAACACGTGCCAACCACGTGTCCGACATGTTTCTGTGTCCGACACGTGTCTGACACTAATGCGCAGCCTCTGAGAGGTGTCCATGCTTCTTAGCATATATACATACATATATAAGAAATAAGAAAAGTTCTACAATAGTTCTGGAATACCACGTGGCCATATTCCCTCACCAATCACTATTCATTATGCCCTTTCATGTTCCTCAATCACCAAACACAAATAATTAGGTGCTGTTTGGTAACAATTACGTTTTCAATTTTCTGTTTATATTTACAAAAATTTTAAAAACTCAAATAAAAACTTGTTTGGTAAAATTTTTGATTTATAAATCAGTGGTCTTAGTTTATAAATTTGGCCAAAAAATGAAAACACAAAAAATGTGTTTCCATTTTGAGTTTTCAGTTTTTTTTTTTTTTTTACCACCCAACACTAGCCACCACCCACCACTACTTTCCACCACCGTCTTCCGCATTAGAAATATCATGCACATCCACCCGTGGTAGCCATTGTTTCAGAATTAAAAATTGGTTCCTATAAATAAAATTAATAGACACATATCATTAAAATTAACAAAACTAATCAGCAAAAAAAGAGAGAATATAATCAAATAACAGAGGCAGAGAGAGAGAAGAACAAAAAAATAGGAGAGAGAGAGAGAGAGAGAGATGTCACAATCAGCATATAAAAGAAAAAAGAAAAAGAAAATAAAAGTTGAAGAATAGAGTAGAAGAAGAAGATCAAAGAAGAAGAACGAATGAAGAAGAAGATAGAAGTTGTACCTTGGATAACTGCAAGAGCAGTGACCATCGACGACCGACCATAGACGAGCGACGACTGACCAGCGAAGAGTGACCAGGTGTGCCCTACGAGTCTTTCTCTCTCTTTTGTTCTCTCTGTTCGATTCTAGATTACAAATTGATCTATTTTTGTTTTTTTACAAATTTACCCCCACAAAAGTCTCATAAATTATGAATTTCAACCCGCGGTGTCTCGAACGTGTCCGGGCTGCACAAAAAAAATAAAAATAAAAATAAAAAAGACCGGACACCTTCTACTGCCTGTCGGACACGTGCCCACCAAGTGTCCGACGTGTATCCGTGTTTGACACTAATACATAGCATATATACATACATATATAAGAAATAAGAAAAGTTATGCAATAGTTATGGAATACCACGTGGCCATATTCCCTCACCAATCACTATTCATTATGCCCTTTCATGTTCCTCAATCACCAAACACAAATAATTAATACTCCACCTTCTCCACCAATCATACTACCATGGAGCAACACGTGGCCGTACTCTCGAACTATTGAATAATCACCCGAAATAAATAAATAATAAGATTGTTATAGGATCGGGATCGTAATGCGATTTTACATGATTTTGTGATTAGGATTGTAATCACTTTAAGATCCTAAATTTAAGATTTTAGTTTGATCCGGATCGTTTAGCCCAACTAGAATCGTACGATCCGGATCGGGCTTTTGATAACCATGTTCGTGGGGGACATGTGCAAAATATATAATTTTTTATATTTATTATATGACATAAGTAAGGATGAACAATTATTATATATCATATATATGAATATTTAATTCAAATATAATAATTTTTAAACTTTAAAAGAGGAGAACATGTATAAATTTATAGTATTTTTTTATTATTGGATTCTAAGATATTTTTTGCAAATTTGTGATGTGTTTTATTTGTGTCTCAACAATAGATGTGTTCTCCAAGTCCAATTGTTTAAAGCGTGTTTGAGTGTAGAATTTTTTTGAAAATAGGATGTATTTCGTTGTGTATGAACTTTGAGGAGTGTTGTGGCGTGAGGCGTGACTTGTTTGTATTGGCGTGTCGGGGTCGGACACGGCACACCACCTTTTTAGAAGTGTCGGTATTTCTTTGATGGCCAGACCTTGGCTTTTTAGACCTTTATGCTTTTGCCATAGTTAGCAGATCTTAATTAGGAAAAGGTTGGCAATGACACTTTTGTGTTTTTATTTAATCATTTTATTTAATGATAAATGTAGATTTCCAAAACCATCTTAGTCCTTACCATGCAGTCCTTATATGTGGATCCTTACTATGTTTAAATTATGTTGGGATTTTTCCAGTGGAATTTAATTTCATGTGTGAGCCACTTGAATAAAGACGTCTGAGGAGTCAGATTGGTCCCTGAATGAGATAGGACTTATTTTTTCCGGGATATATTTTTTGTTTTGCAGACTGTTGGAAGTCAAGTTCTCGTAAAGATTGTGAAGAATAAGCATGCCCCGCCTTTTAGAACTGCACAATTTGAGCTTGAGTTTGGCAAAGGGATATGTCAGGAAACTGAGCTCATAGAACTGGGATCCAAACACAAGTTCATAACAAAGGGAGGTGCATTTTATAGTATGAACGGTCAGAGTTTTCGTGGTAAGGATGCTATCAAACAATTCCTTGCTGCTAACCCAAGTGTCAAAGAGGAACTTATGATGAAGCTCCGGGAAAAGTTGCTCGACTCTGAGGAAGACAAGGGAAAGGAATCCGAGGCAGAGGCTGTGGATACCGACCCTACAGAGGCAGTTGTTTCATCTGATACGACTGATGAAGAAGAAATATCTGCAGTTGAGGCATAAGACCGTCAATGACTATAAGATGTAAATGGGAAAATGTCCGTGTCTCAATGTCTTTGGGATCTCCTGATCATGTGGTGATGTTGGGGCGGCCTTCAATCTACGATTGCAGGCTTTCTGTGCCGACCCTTGGCATGATTTTCCTAAATGAGGGCGTTTAAAATTATATGTATATCATGCATTGTTGTAGTACATGGAAGTTTTGAGTTAAAAAAGAACAATTTGGAAAAGTGCAGGTTCATTGTTCAGTTTCCTGTAATCATCTCCATTGCTAATTATAAGTTGTCAGCTGCATTTGGTATGTTGGTGGCATTGATCCTATTGTACTGTACAACTTCATGAAGCAAGAAATCAATGATGTGTTTTGTCCTATTTGTGCTTTTTTGTTCATTTGGTTAGCTAGTAACTATCAGCTGGTTTATTCAGGGAATCTGTTAAAATTTTCCATGGGTTTTCAGGTGCTGATCTTGCAAACTTGGTCCACATATAGATGCTCTGAAAGCAGCAATGGATGGTTCTAAAGTAGTAAGCATGGTTGATATAGAGCTTGCACAGGACAAGATCATGATGGGAAGTGAGAAAATTAGCTGTGATGAATGGTTAAAAATGTATAATTATCTTATTATTTTTAATCATTATTACACTTTTATTAATTTAATTCCCCAATTTTATTCTTAGGTGTGAGTTTAATGATCTATTTTTAATTTTTACAGAATAATTTGCAATTAGGATAAATGTTGGGGCTAAATGGCAATTAAAGAAAAAGGATGCCACATTGAAAGCAAAATCTTGCCAGGCAAGAATTCAACATCACACGGCCAATCAGACTATTGGAAGAATGATGCAAGCTGTTCTGTTCCAAAGATCCCAATTGGTTCATCTACGTCTAAGGTGCTGAAGAAGTGGAATACTAAAATAAGGAATTGTTTGCTCTTTATTTTTATGATATTCCAATTTTCTTTGTTGAGGTTATGGGTGAAATCCCAATGTTTTCTTTATGGACATTTTTTTGATTCAATCATGTTTTTAATGTCAGATTATTTTAATTGATTGATTTATTTATTTGGGAAAAGTTTTTGTTCTATATAATATCTTGTTCGATAGAAGCTTGATATTTCCTACGAATCAAATAACTAGATTTTTATGGTGTAATCAATCAGTGAAAATATTTAATTTTTATCTGGAATAATCATTTTTATCTTCCGATTGAAAATACCTTTTGTGTATGTCTCAATTGAGTTATATAAATTGAATCTAAAATATTTTAAAGAAAGCATTGGTGGAGGATCCTTGATGCCTTAGCACCAAGGTTTTGAAAAGCGGTTGTGGTTGCGGGGTGTAAATGCCGTAGCGTAACAATTGCGGTAACCGGAATCGTGGATTTTTTTATTTTTCGCACAATTTGAAAAAATTTATCAATACGCATATTTTTTTTTATGATCATATTTATTGGAATTAAAATAAATATTGATAAACTTTTGTAAATTTTTAAGTATGATCCAATATATTTTATATTTTTAAATCACCATAAAATGAGTTTTTTACATTTTATTTTAATAATTAATGACTTTATATTATACAAAAAATCAATCACTAACTATTATATATAAGATAAACAATGACAAAAGTAAGAGAATAAATAAGAGTCTAAATATATATATATATATATATATATATTTTTTAACCAAGCCAAATAGATAATGGCCACACTTATTATTATTATTATTTTCAAACAATATATAGATAGACACATACAAACAAAATGGTTGAATGATAGCAGCTGAATAAAATATCATAGATCTTACAGTTTCAACAAATCAATAACATGTTCTTCATCTTTCCCCTTTCTCTCTCCCTATTTCTTGCTCCTCCATCTTCTCTTTTTATTTTCCTGCTTCTCTCTATCACTCTTTTCCCATTTTCAGTTTTTTTTTTTTTGTGTTTTTTCAAAAGAAATAGTTTGGAACCGTTACGTAACGGTGTGTAACAAGCCGTTACGGCTGTTACGACACCGTTACGACCGCTACGGCAGCCGCTACGGCTGACACACCTATGAATCTCAATCACATTGTAAAAGCGGCCGTAACGGGTGGCGGTAACCACCACAACCGTTACGTAACAACGTTACGTAACGGTTGCGGCCGCTTTTTAAAACCTTACTTAGCACCCTTTTTATAATCACCTTATTTTATCTTTTAATTAATTATTTTTTTCTCCAATTATTCAGTCGTTTCAAAAATTCAAAACCATATTTTTCTTTACTTTATTTGAGTGGTTGGTAATTATTTTGAACAAACTGATCATTGTGGATTCGACCTCAAACTCACCAAGTTATATTATTTGGCGACATCCTACACTTGGGATTGCAATATAAAAGTGGCAACAAATTGTGATCTATTAACTTTTAATTGTTACAGGTATTTGAAAGGTGAAAAGCTATATGAACTCGAGTTGATGTGACGTAGTTTTTCACTTATTATTTGTTACGTAGTAAAAAGTGGTAGGGTTGAACATAAAAATTGAAAAAATTGTAAACCAATCCCGTCTAGACCAAACCACACGGTTTGGCTTAGTTTTCTCAATGCACGGCTTGATTATGAGTTTTTAAATAGGCAAATTATATGTTACGGTTCGGTCCGTGATTTTATAATTATGAATTGAACCGAACTGTTTAGATTTTATATATAATTTGTTACTGAATGTAAATACAAAAATATTTTATTAGTGTCAAATCTATGTATATATATAAGTTATAACTCTTTACTATTATAAATATATTTTTTTATATTGATAGAATTAGTTTCAAATAGTCATGTAAACAATTCTTAGGTTGTGAGTAATATTTTGTGATCATATTGTGAATAATGATAATATTTTTAAAATTTGCAATGCCAAATTGAATTGAACCTAGTTTAGTGGTTTGGTTTGGATTGGTTTCAAGATTTTCATGAATTAGTTTGGTTTCAAATTTGATGAAACCGTAAATGATGATATGGTCTTAGTTTACGGCTAAATTGAATCAATGTGAATTATGGTCACCCCTATAAAGTGGGACCAAAGTTTGATTCGGCCGAACACTCAATACTTTGTGCTGAGCACAAAGTGACTTCTCAAGTTTCATATTTATCACATAACAAATAATGTGTGGAAGGCAACACCATGTAGCATATACTTGTTACATAAAATATTTTTAGACAAAGTATGATGCTTTAGTTTTAGCATATATTGAATTCACAAGCACACTCATTTTAAGTGGATTTGTTTCATCTTCATGATAATCCATTTGGGGAGACAAAAATTGAATTGAATGCTTCTTTCTTGCCTTAGAACTATATCAAACTAGAAATAATTAAGGAATAATTAGTGTTTCCTTGCTGAGTTCATGATCATAAACCATACTACACCATGATGTTAGAAAGCCTAGTTTTTTTTTTTGTTGGTCATGTTTTCTAGTGTGTTTGTGATGTGTTCTGCCCCTGTTTACCTGGTACCCTTTTTTTTTGGGTTGCTTTTGTTTTCCTTTACATGTATGATGAAAGTTTTTCATCAGCTAGCCAAATTGGTAAAATTTAGTGGTAAGCACCACCACGTTAACTTTGATCAATAAGCTTACACTCGTTATATGGTCCTGATTACGAAAGCTTCTAAGTACATTTACTGTATGCATTGTATGTCTTGTACCTTAGAGAGAAATACCTTTATATGTGAATGTAGAGAGAAATTAAGTGTATAGGTCTCGTTTGGGAACATATTATATTAGTAACATTTTGATTTTTTAACTAAAATATGAAGTAAAAAAATGTTTAGAATGACTTTTTGATTTTTTACGAAAATATGTGCAAAAAGTAGAGAGAAAAGAATTTTTTTGACTTTTTGGTATAGATTATAAGCTTTTTTGATTTTTTTAATAACTTTTTGACTTTTTGGTTAAAATACTCACATGCCAAACGAGGCCTTAGAAGTTCCCTCAACTGCTCATGATTGGTTGCATAAAAAAAAGTGATTTTTTCACTTCTCATGATTTTTTTACTTCATATTTTAGCTAAAATATGAAGTAAAAAAATGTTTAGAATGACTTTTTGATTTTTTACCAAAATATGTGCAAAAAATAGAGAGAAAAGAATTTTTTTGACTTTTTGGTATAGATTATAAGTTTTTTTGATTTTTTTAATAACTTTTTGACTTTTTGGTTAAAATACTTACATGCCAAATGAGGCCTTAGAAGTTCCCTCAACTGCTCATGATTGGTTGCATAAAAAAAAGTGAGGCTTAGGTTGTGTTTGAATTATAAATTTATGGATTTGGAAAGGAAAAGGAAAAAAATGAGTAAAATGTAACTATATTTCATCTTTTTTCCCTTTTCTTTTTAAAATCCATATTCAAAATTTATAATCCAAACACAACATTAAAGTGTTACCTTTTCACCTTCCAATGAGGTGGAACAGGCAGTTGAGACACACAGGGAGTTGAGACACACACTATGCGTGCATATTATCAGTTATATTAATTTATCAAAAATGAATAAAATAAATAATAAATAGAGAGTATACAATTGAGTATGGAAATCATGAATTGAGGTTAATGGCAATTTGTTAATGCTGAGTTGTGGATTGTGGCTATAATTATAACTTATTAGGGTATGGGTATTGGAGTCCCAAGTATTGAAGGAGATCATATATATGTGAGATAGTTATCAAATGAAATTAAAATTATTTTTTATTTTTTTGATTAATTAATGGATGCATGCTTCAAGACACCAAATTTGTGTTGACATATTAATATAGTATAATAATGTAACAACCACCAAATTTAATATTGACATATTAATATAGTACAGAAGTATATATGACTGACTATGAATGTGTTGGAATCAAAATTAACGTGATGATTTGAAATTTTTCGTGCAATATGCTTGGCTAGCGAAATTGCCTATGACTGAAGGCATTTTATTATTTGAGAAATAATACTAATAGTTATATTTATTCAATCTGAACTTTCAACCATGCTATTATGCATTTTTCATATCTATTAAATTTATGAATAATGCTTGGGACCCCCTTTTGGGGGTCACCCCCTCACCCCCTTTGCCACGTGGCAGGGGGTGATTGGAGGAGCAGGAAAAAAAAGAAAAAGAAAAAGAAAAAGTAGCCAATGAGAGAGAGAGGGGTCAAAGGGGTAGAGGAAAAAGGGGATGAATCATTACTCTAAATTTATTTAATCTTAACTTTGACATGCTTCTGTTCTGTTGCACTGATGATTCACCATAAATTAATCAAACTTATTGTACTATTGTCACATGTCTCGATTTAGCCCAAATATTCTTAAAAAAGTAATTTGTTTTATTATATAGATTTTGGTCATAATGTCCTAGA